AATACTTTAAAGTTTTGGAAATGAGTAACCTTAATACTACATTAAAACACCAGAGGTCTGAACATCAGTAGATCAAAACAATAGACCAATCTACATATCCCACAACAATTTTTTGTTAAAAAATGTTGGGTTGCTTAACCAAAACTAACCAAGCTACACTCATTTTGTTTCTCTCTTCCTACTAATACCCTCTGTACAACCCTCTCTTCATCAAACACCACTTTCCCTTGCATTTCTTGCTCAGTTCGATTCAAGCGGCTGTTGCCATTGTATTAGGAGCCTAAAATCATGGCTGGTAAGATTAAAGACATCTACAAAGGTTTCAAATCCATTTCCCACTTGTTTGGTGAGTTTCTTTTTTGTTTCTCGTTAAATATACAATAAATATGAATGTATTGTATTTCAATACGTTTTTTTTATCGGGTGGGGTCTTGATTGTAGTTGTGAAGAAGCAAGAGATGGAAATTGGGCTCCCGACGGATGTTATACATGTAGCACATGTTGGTGCTGATCACTCTTCCACCACTGCTCCTAGTTGGGTATGTTGTATTCAAAAGCTACATTTTGGATAGGCTAAATTGAGTTGTATTTATCTTTGATCTACACTTTGCTTGGAATTCAATACAGATGAATGAATTCAAGACTGGTCCTAATAAAACAGCAGAATCAACCGGCAACACCGGAGTTCCTCTTTCAACACTGTCCTCTCAAAGTACGTTTTCTCAAAAAGATGAAACATTTTAAATGACCTTTACCTCTTTATTAGACGATTTTGCATTCAAAATTATTCATATATTGGGACCTAACCTATACTACCTTGTTACAGGTATTGATCAATCAATAGGATCTGAATCCGAAACTGAGAAAACGAGAAGACAGTCCTGCACTGATGTTACGGAGAAACGAAAAAGGAGAAGGAAGAGCAATTTCATTGTTGAGTCTTTTTCCTCGAAATCTCAAAGATTATCCAAGACCAAGGAAACATCTAGTCAATTGGGTTCGTCACCAGACTTCATCTTCATGCATGATTATTTCTTATATTAAGACTCTCAAGAACACAATAAAATTCATTATTATTTTGTTACAGGTATTGATCAATCAGTGGGATATGAACCGAAAATAGAGAAGATGAAAATCCAGTCATGCACTGATCTTTTAGATGTTAGGGAGAAACCAAAAAGGAGAAAGAAGAACACTTCCATTGCTGGCTCCTGTTCCTTGAAATCTCAACGATTGTCCAAGACGAATGGAACGTCTACTCAATTGGGTTCGCCATCTACTCAATTGTGTTTATCACTCAAATTCAGATCATCATGCATGACTATTTCTTACTAAAATATTAGAGATTCCCATGAACATAATAAAGTTGAAATCGATTTCATTACTATTTTGCAGCAGGTATTGATCAATCAATGGGATCTGAACTAGAAGTAGAGAAGATGAGAAACCAGTCTTGCACTGATCTTCCAAATGTTATGGAGAAACGAAAAAGGAGAAAGAAGAAAACTTCCACTTCCGAGTCATCTTCCTCGAAATCACAAAGATTGTCCAAGACCAAGGAAACATCTACACAATCGGGTTCGTCATCTACTCAATCAGTTTCATCATTGGACTTCAAAATATACACATCAACACGCGTGATTATTTATTACTAAGATTCCCATAAACACGACAAAGTTGAAGCCAATTTCATTAATATTTTGTTACAGGAATTGATCAATCAATGGGATCTGAACCAGAAACAGAGAAGATGATAAACCAATCTTGCACTGATCTTCCAAATGTTACAGAGAAACGAAAAAGAAGAAGGAAGAGCTCCACTGCCGAGTCTTCTTCTTCTCTTTCAAAATATAAACGATTATCCAAGATGAAGAAAATATCTTCTCAATTGGGTTCGTTAGTAGACTTCAAAATATGAAGATCATCATGCATGATTATTTCTTACTAATATATTTGAGATTCTTATCAACACAAGAAAGTCGAAATCAATTTCATTATTACTTTTTGTTACAGATATTGATCAATTTATTGGATCTGAACCAGCAGCAGAGAAGATGAAAAACCAGTCTTGCACTGATCTCCCAAATGTTATGGAGAAACCAAAAAGGAGAAAGAAGAGAAGTTCCACTTCCGAGTCATCCTCCTCGAAATCTCAACGATTATCCAAAACTAAAGAAACATCTACTCAATTGGGTTCATTATGTACTTAATCAGTTTCATCATCCAACTTCAAAATATAAAGATCACCGTGCAAGCTTATTTCTTACTAATATATTTAAGATTCTCATAAACACAACAAACTCCAAGTAAATTTTATTAATATTTTGTTACAGGTATTGATCAATCAATGGAGGCTGAAGCAGAAGCAGAGAAAATGAGAAACCAGTCTTGCATTGATCTTTCAAATGTTACAGAGAAACGAAAAAAAGAAGGAAGAGCTCTTCCACTGCTGAGGCTTCTTCTTCTTCGAAATATAAACGATTAACCAAGATGAAGAAAATATCTACACAATTAGGTTCGTCACTAGACTTCAAAATATGAAGATCATCATGCATGATTATTTCTTATTAAGATTCTCATAAACACAACAAAGTGGAAGTCAATTTTATTACTAATATTTTTTTATTACATATATTGATCAATTAATGGGATCTGAACCAGCAACAGAGAAGAGCACCGATTTTTCAAATGTCACGGAAAAACGAAAGAGAAGTTCCATTGCCAAGTCTTCTTCCTCCAAATCTCCATCATTATCAAAGATGAAGGCAACATCTACTCAATTGAGTTCGTCATCAGACATTAAAATATAGAGATAATCATGCCTGATTATTTCTTATTAATGTATTTAAGATATATTTATGAACTCAACAAAGTCGAAATCAATTTAGTACTATTTTGTTACAGGTATTGATCAATCGATGGGATCTGAACTAAGAACAGATGAGATGAGAAATCAGTCTTGCACTAATCTTTCAAATGTTACGGAGAAATGAAAAAGGAGAAAGAAGAGAACTTCCATATCCAGACCTTCTTCCTTAAAATCACATTTGATTATCCAAGATAAAGGCAACAAAGTCGAAATCAATTTCAGCAAAGCTGATCTAAATTAGAATTACTTGCCTACTGCTTTTGAGCTTTATTTTCACTGTGCTGCCAGTGTGTAATTAAGTAACGAGTGGATATTACTTGAAAGGGAGAATTTTATCTCTGTAAAGCTCGTAGAAAGAATTTTGATCTGAACTTTGTAAATAAATATTAAAAATGAATAATTAATATTATAAATATAATAAAATAAATTATAACATAACAGTATTATAGATGAAAAATAGAATTGAAAGTATTCTGCAAATTAGAATTAAAAGTGTTGTGCAAATAATGACTTGGGGTTATATCCTGATGACTCTAATGTATTGTACAAATTAGAAGGAATCGTAAGATAATTTAAAATAGTGGTCGAATAGATGAATAGAACTATAGTGAGCAAGTTTGATGCATGCATTCTAATCATTTATAGAAGTCGTTTTGTTCTAAAATGTCCTAATCATAAATGAACACTAATAAAGTTCAAGTAATGCAAAAACTTAGCAATAGGCAACATGAATATCATCAACGTAATCTTTTGTAACCAGTCTCATTTTATACTTGGTTTCTTCAACTCCTGAGTTCGTTTCTTTCTTCTTGAACACTCATTTGCAACCAAAAATATTTTAACCCTTAGAAAGCTTCGCTATGTCCCATAACATTCTTATAAAGGAGTTGTAGACGTTATAAGAAATCTAGTCAGTTAGCTTGTTATGCCAGCTCACCCTAGTCTGGTAGAGCAGTTATGAGGAGGTGATGGCTTTTATCCATGTATAAATATGTACCGTGTATTAAGAATACTCATCGAATAAAAGCATATTCTCTGTGAAAGCTCTCTTCATCTACTTTATCATTAGTGACGTGCTTACATTTAAGTCTATAGAGATAACAACAATTCCTTTAATCAAGTAACCTTAATTTATGAAAATTTATTGTTATTTTTAAATCAAACTAAACTAATAAAATATATAAATATTAAAAGTTAAAAATATTATTATGCCAATGAAAAGGATCAAGTCAGCTGTCCTCTAATGGAAGAATGCCTATGCTAATCATATCTATAAATTGAAAGTTTTTGCTGTTAGATATACAAAATATCTACATCTTAACTTAATAATTCGGGTGACTGCTAGTATAGTATTATACTTTAATCTTTAATGATATATAATTATATGGTTCTTTGATCATGTATAAATTATACATGAATAGTGCATCAAATATTAATCTATATTTTGAAATGTTACAATATTAATATTTATTTATATCTTTCATATTCGTTTTACGATTTATGTCAGAAATTTATAACTAATTTTATCAGTAATATCATCTTTAAAAATTCAAACTTGTCATGAAGAGTTTAACGCGTTTCATCATTACATTCAACAAATATAGATAAATATTTTTTTAATTTAACAATAAATTTGAAACATCCATACATCTTATAAAAGATATGTTGATTTTTATTCCTTTAATATTGACATTTCGATAGGTAAAATTTAAAATTTCTTTTAGTTGAACTAAACAAAATTATGTTAATAAGACATCAAATCGGAACAGCAACAGTTGTCCATAAACAAAACAGTACTAAAAGTTTCTTATTAGGGTAGCCGACATTAAAATATCCGAACTCCGACCATCACTAGATTAAAACAATAAAGCAGCCTACAAACATATCCCACAACGAATTATTGTTCACAAAATCATGTGTTTGGTAATCAAAGCTAACAAAGTCATCTATATTTCAACACCCTTATCTCATTCTCACACTATCGTTTCTCTTGCTTGTAATATTCTTTCAAAGCTTTCTTTTTACCAAATTCCAGTTTTCCTTCATTTTCTTTGTCTTTTCTCTTCCCTTGTTTGTTTCTCAAGAAAGGTCAGAATTCCCTTATTTGCATGTTTTCTCGACCAACAACATCATGACCGGCAAGATCAAAGGCATCCACAAAGGCTTCAAATCTCTTGTACAAATCTTTGGTGAGTTTCTTTTTGTCCCTCTTTGAATACACAACAAATACGAATGCATTATATTTGACTGCGTTTATTTTTCTGGGTGCATGGGGGTCTTGATTGTAGTTGTGAAAGAGCGAGAGATGGAAATTGGTCACCCGACAGATGTTATACACGTGGCACACATTGGTGTGGATCACTCTTCCGCCGTTAATCCCAGTTGGGTATGTTGATTCAAAAACTGCAATTTGGATAGGCTAAATTCAGTTGTGTTTATATCTTAGTTCTTGACTTGGCCTGGAATTCAATACAGATGAATGAATTCAAGATTGGTCCCAACAAAACAGTAAAACCAATCAACACCAGAGTTTCTCAACCTACGGCTCTTTCAACTTGGTCCCCTCAAGGTGCGTGTTCTCAAATCGAGTTTGAATCATAAAATACAACTTATAAATCGATTGAATCTGATCGAATATGTCTCTCTTCCTAAAGATGTTGATCAATCAATGGGGTCTCATCCAGCAACAGAAATGACCAGAAATCGGTCTTGCACGGATCTTCCAAATCTTAATAAGAAGCGAAAATGCAGAAAGAAGAGCGCTTCCATGTCCGAGTCATCATGCAAGGGCATTTCTTATTAATATTATTTAAGATATTCATGAAGTCAACAAAGTTGGAATGAATTTCAGCAAAGCTAATGTAAATTAGAATTACTGTCTAATTTACGAATATATCGATGTCTGTATTTAAATCTGAATCAAAGCGTAAAGGATTTAAGATTACTCTAAGCGCAAAAAATGGTATGTCCTGGTTTCATGTTGTATTGTTGGCGCAAAGTTTTGCTAATTCGGACGAACTTCGGAAAGGAATCTAATTATTTTCTTGTTATGGAGTAAAAAATATTTTTTCTGAGTACGTAATAAGACCTAAAGTAGTGTTAGAAGTGATAATGATTTATGTATGTAGGAGAAAACCAACATGTTTGATTGGTATCAATGCCACTACTTCCACATATGTAGAAGCTGTTGGAAACGTAGATGAGTTCTCTGTAATTTATAACTCGAACTTTTTATTGATACGAAACAAAATACTTTACAATAACACTACATCAATATTACAATACTGCAATACTAGCTGCGGCTAGTTTACAAACTCAACCTCACTATTTTAAGCTTTGCTAAGCTCTCTCAATTCTCTCTATTTTTTCTCTCGTATATTTTTCTTTTGCTCACTACACACTTTTCCTCACTTATATTTCTTTCACTCACTCGTTATTCACTTTTTTCCTCACATTTATACATGCTTGCTTTGCTCACACACACATATATATATATCTGTAATAAACCAACATTGAAGATTGTAGAAGCTGCTCAATTTCTTTATTATTGCCGCCTTACATGATGAACATATTTGTTTGTCTTCATTTGCTTTCATTAAAAATCTTTTCCGACATACTAGTGCATTGCCACGTTATTTCCTTTGTTCTTAAGCATTAGCATGTGTAACACCCTCAACCCGTATCCGACCCGGATACAAGTCTGAGGTGTCACATTGACTTTTCAAACTTTAAACTTTTAACAAAAACCAATGAAATTTAAAGCTTTTATTAAAATAACATTGTCATTGTACACGAGTTAACCAAAACAAGACAAAACTAATCAGAGCATTTGTAACTAACACTTTTCTTACATGCCAACACACTACATACAAAAAAATACCTACTATGACTTTCCTTCTGATCTGATCGCTGAGTGGAGATATGTTGATCTGCAAATTCCTATTCTTGATTCTCCCGCTCTTCGAAACCTACGTGTAAAAACACTTACACGCTAAGTCATAGACTTAGTGAGGCATAATTACATAATAAAGAATTACTAAAAATATAAACATGTCGTCTACTATCCACCGCAATTATACTATCACACCATCATTTATTATACCACATATGAGACAATATAAATCATAATAATACCATATTAAGATATAATTATATACATCCTCGTTATGTCCTATTTAAGCCCATATACACCATTGAGAACCCAAGGTATACGAGTATTATGAGGTTGTGCACACGTATGCTGTCACCACAGCTCAATGAATGTTCCGAATGACCTATCCAGAGGTCATAAAGATCCTCGGTAACTATCCAGAGGTCATAAAGATCCTCGGTAACTATCCATAGGTTATAAAGATCCTCGGTAACTATCCATAGGTCCCGAAGAACCTAGGTAAACTATCCATATATTCCTTAGAACATAGGTATACTATCCATATGTCTCGAAAGACATAGGTAGTTCTTTGACTCTTGGCATGCCAACTATACCTACAGTTCTCATAACTCATATCATGGGCATTGTCTTTTAACTTATTACATATTCACACATCATATCACATTTTTCTTTTCCTATAGCTCTTTATCACATGTTCATATGATCATCTTATCACCTATACATTTCATATAACCATTACATACATACAGACATACGTACATGTCATCATTTATGTTTTTATCATACTCCTATAGTATTATCCTTCATCTCTTTTGTCTCTTGTTCATTTTTCATCCAATAACTTATATAAATGTATATATATCACGTATACTAGTTCCTAGGTCCCATCACACTAGCATATTTTCATATATTTGTAATCACGTAGTTTATTTTTCATATAATTCATGTCACCCCTCATATGATTTCATATTCATATGCTACATATTTCATATTCATATGCTACATATTTCATATTCTTTCTATGTCCTTTCCATACTTCTTATTTCATATTCTTATGAAATCATATTGATCATTTTAACTATTTCACATATTTAACACATTTATCTACCTATTTACACGACTCATATAATATATATATACTGTAACATGTCAATACATATGCTCATTCATACATATAAACCATAAAAAAAACATCACACACACTTCATATACCTAATATAGATATCTCGTAACTCATTCAATCCCATATGACACATACATTCATATATAAGCTATAAACTGGAAAATAGACTTACCACAATCTGCATAGTATATCCCATAATGCATATGGTATGAATTCATATCATCTTTAATAATATTGAATGAATAATGTATCAAGATATTAAATCTAGACTTATCGCAAGTTTAGAACTGAATATACTAACATAATCATGTTATGCATATGCACTCACCTAGATTTCTTTGTCTTTCCCTCGATTGATCCTACTGGTCGATGGTTCCAGAACTCGTTTAGGCTCGGTATCTACATAGTAATTCATTGATACTTATCAGTATACTAGTTAGTATATTCTAAGCTATCATTCTTAGGCTACAAGAAAAGTCATTTTCATCTTTTAATGGAGGTATGCATCGATGCATTACACCATGCATCGATGCATAAATCTTATTCGATGTTTGTATTTAATGGGGTGCATCGATGCACTCCTTATGCATCGATGTATCGATGGCATTCGATGTTTTCATTTTAAATTAATGCATTGATGCACTTCATGTGCATCGATGCACCGTAAACAATTTCTGGGATTTATCATTGATGCATCGGTGCACAATGAATGTGCATGGATGCACATTGCCCAGAATTGTCATTTTAGCACGGAAATCTCTTCTTAGTCTACTTAACACTTTATATTACCCCTATTTTTATATCCTTAACTTACATACTCTTACTTAAACTACTTATTATTTATTTCATACTTTCAAAACTTAGAAATCCGATTCTCCATGTAGAGTTTAAGAATCTAACCCAAATTCCATCATGTTCTAATTTGAATTCTAACACTTCATACCTCTTAGTTAGCTTAATGACAAGTCAAATTTCACTTCTAATTCTTATTAAGAACCCTATTCAAAAATTTCACTTTTCTATTTCCTTTCTTTAATTCTTCATACACTCCTCATCTTATGGTTTTAAGATAATCTAAGCTTTCCTTAAGCTTAGTTATCAACTAAGGATCAATAAGAAACCTTAAATTCATCAAGAATTTGATCACAAGAAAACTCACCTTTAGCTTGGCTTCACGGTAGAGAAGGAGAAGGAAGAAGAAAGAAATATCCAGAACCTTGTTTCTCTCATAAGCTTACCCCGTGGATTTAAATATCCTTAAAAAAACATTTAATTTTTTTCCTTGCCAAAAGACCCATTTGCCCCTTTAGTTCCCCATGCTTTGCTAATTGATCCTACACCAAATATTTCAATCAATTCCTTCAACTTTCAATTTATCTACTTTGATCAATAACTTTTAAATTTTCACAATTTAATCACTAACCCGATATAGAGGATGTTACAAATCTCCCTCCCTTAAGAAAATTCGTCCTCGAATTTTCATTGTACAAACAGATGGGGATATTGAAGTCGCATATCTTCTTCACGTTCCCACGTGGCTTCTTCTACCTTGTGATTTCTCCAAAGAACCTTGACCAACGGAACTGTCTTACTTCTTAACTGTTTGACTTCATAAGCCAATATTCTCACTGGTTCTTCTTCATATGTCAGATCCGATTGGACTTCTACTTGTTCTGGTGCAATGATGTGCGAGGGATCGAACCTATATCTTCGTAACATTGACGCATGGAAGATGTTATGGATCTTCTCCATTTCCGGTGCCAAGGATAACTGATATGCCACGGGTCCTATCCTCTTAACAACTTCATATGACCCAATGAATCTAGGACTTAACTTTCCTTTCCGACCAAAACGTAATACTTTCTTCCAGGGAGATACTTTAAGGAAAACTTTATCTCCAACCTCGAACTCAATCTCTTTTCTTTTAAGATCAGAATAGGACTTTTGCTGATCATAGGCCACTTTGAGGTTATGCTGAATTTCTCGAACTTTCTTTTCTACATCTTGAATTAAATCCGGACCAAGAACACTTCTATCTTTGAGTTCATACCAATTTAATGAAGTACGGCATTTCCTTCCATATAACGCCTCATAAGGTGCCATTTTAATTATGGATTGATAACTATTGTTGTAAGCGAACTCCGCCAGTGGTAAATATTTCTCCCACGACCCTTTAAACTCAATAACACATGCTCGCAACATATCTTCCAATATTTGAATAGTTCTCTCTGATTGCCCATCCGTCTGAGGGTGAAAGGCCGTACTAAAGTTAAGGCGAGTTCCCAAAGCTCCATGCAAAGCTTTCCAGAATCTAGAAGTGAATCGAGGGTCTCGATCAGAGACTATGGAAATAGGTACTCCGTGCAATCTAATAATTTCTCTAATATACAACTCAGCGTACTTTTCCATAGAGAAATTTGTTCTAACCGGAAGGAAATATGCTGACTTAGTCAATCGATCAACAACTACCCAGATTGATTCTTTTTTGTTCGGAGTCAAAGGTAATCCCGAAACAAAATCCATCGTAACATTTTCCCATTGCAATTTGTAATCAATGATTTGCTTTCACTTCCCAAAGAATCCCAATCCATTTCTAATTACCTTATAACCATACCCAATCTCTTATTCCATCATTCTATAACTTAGAACACAACCCTAAACCTCTTCAAATGTTATTAAACATATACTTTACGAAATCAATCAATCTTTTCATAGCACTATCTACCATTTCCTTACCCCATATCAACTTATAATTCACACTTTACACCCCTTTTTCATTTAATTCCCT